CAATCTCACAGGACTAGAGGGTAAGGGAGGGTTGTTGGACTCTTGTTTTAAAATGACCTGATAAAGACTGTGTTTTCCACCATCATCTTAAAAATAATTCTAAAATAGAAAAGAGGATCACGAATGTCAATTCTATCTGTCTTTGATGAAACTAAGAAACATCGGAAAGCCCAAACCATAAGGATAGATGTCAAGACAGTACAGGACATTTTAGTGTTGGAAACGCCTGTGGGCCAGACAGCATTCTAGTTCTCTTCAATGCTGAGGTTGTAGGATTCCTCTGCTCACAACAAAGGAAAATCAAAAGGACCTCTAGTCCTTAACTAGGGACAAAATTTCCTACCAAGAATTTTTGCCCATGTAATGCATGTCACAGCAGAAAGTGGACACATCAGGCTAGATTATCCTACCCATTACCTTTATCCAGTTTCTACTGTCCTATTTCATTATACATAGTTTAAGATCTTATTTTGGCTTCCCATATAGACTTTGTTGAAGGATGAAAAATTTTTTGACTTGCTAGCTAGACTATTCAAGTCACTTAGCAGTTAGATTTCCTAGGGAAATTAATGAATCCAGCACTCAAATTAATCTGTGTTTTCTGAGTGTGGTTATTGCAGATCAGCCTAATCGTGCTGTAATGCATGATAAATTTGTGTTTCTGGCCTGAAGAGTTGAGAGCCAAAGTAAATTTTAATGATCCACCTGCTTAAACAGCTGCCTAAATGCCACACATGCTGGATGACAAGTTGGTATTCTGTGTCATTGTCTCCACTTCCTTTATTTTTCTTTTTTAAAGGCTAGGTCTCATTCTGTCACCCAGGCTGGAATACAGTGGCGTGATCATAACTCACTGCAACCTCAAAATCCTGGGCTCAAGCAATCTTCCCACCTCAGCCTCCCAGTAGCAAGGACTACAGGTGTACTTCCATGACCACTAATTTTTTTAAACTATTTTGTAGAGACAGGGTTTCACCATGTTGCCCGGAATGGTCTTGAATTCCTGGCCTCAAGCTATCCACCCACCTCAGCCTCCCAAAAGGCTAGGACTACAGGCACGAGCCACTGCACCTGGCCATTAAGTTTTAACAATATTAATAATAATAACCAGCAGTGATAATGGAGAACACAATATAACAAATGAGCTATTAAGAAATTGAGGCCAGGCAAGGTGGCTCACACCTGTAATCCCAGCACTTTGGGAGGCAGAGGTGGGCGGGGGTCAAGAGATTGAAACTATCCTGGCTAACATCGTGAAACCCTATCTCTACTAAAAATACAAAACATTAGCTGGACATGGTGGCACACGCCTCTAGTCCCAGCTACTTGGGAGGCTGAGGCAGGAGAATCGCTTGAGCCTGGGAGGCAGAGGTTGCAGTGAGCGGAGATAGCACCACTGCGCTCCAATCTGGCAACAGAGAGACTCCATCTAAGAGAAAGAAAAGAAAGAAAGAGAGAGAAAGGAAAGAAAGAAAAAGAAAGATAAATAAATAAATAAATAAATAAATTGAACTAATTTTGTTTTAACTAGATAGTATTATTTGCTGCTATAGACAACTCAGGAAGAAATAAAAAGTAATATCCCCTTCCCTTACAAAATTAGTCAAGCCTTTGGGTTTCTAGGGGTCAAGATGTTTTATATGGAAAATGCACACTTAGGTTCTTAATTGTAATTGTGGGTTGAAAGGGGAAAATGGAGCAGATTTCCAGGAATTTGGAAAAACAAGAATTTTTCCTTAGGACAAAGAACTGAGCCTGCTAATACCAGTCCCATTGAGATGGCCACACCTTGAAAGGGGTACAGTCTGAGCACCAGAGCTGGGAGCCTGCAGGAGAAGCACTGAACTTCTCCAGACTATATGGAGCTACTGCAGATCTGTCCTCCCTGGAAGGACTCCTGCCCCCCATACCTCCTCTACCCCTAAGTGTCCCCAGCATATTGCTGGACAGGCCGACCTTGGGGTGATTAGGGGAGGCACCAACTAGGACACTGGCTCCCCGACAGTGACGTCGTGTGGCCAGAAGGAGCAAGTGCAGGTGAGACATGCAAAGGCTGAGAGATGGTGTGAGCCCCCTGGTACTGCACAATCTCGAGAATGGGAAGATAACTAAAATTATTAATCATCAACTTCCCAACAACATGGCAGGCAGTTGGGGGCTTAAATTCTTCTTACTGAATCCATGAAAACAAAAATGTGACACCACTCTAACTCAAGTGTCAAGAAGTAATTCATATGTGTAACTCTGGCTCCAATATTAATCCCCAATGTCCTTATCTAAAGAACACCCCCACGAAGCCTTATGTGTATCCTTAGTCTGTTTTCTCTTCTTCAGAGCTCATAATCAGAATGCCCTTGTGGTTCATGTGTTTACTTGTTTTTATCTGGCTTACATTTTATTTATTATCTGTCTCTTCCTACTGGAATTTAACTTTATATAGGTATGGATCTTGTCTTTCTTATGTGTCACTGTATCCTCAGGTTTTATTTTATTTACTTTTTTAAAATTTTTTGAGACAGCATGTCGCCCTGTTGCCCAGGCTGGAATGCAGTGGCACAATCTGCTCACTGCAGCCTCTGCATCCCAGGCTTAAGTGATTCTTGTGCCTCAGCCTGCCAAGCAGCTACTGTAGTGTGCACCACCACGCCTGGCTAACTTTTTGTGTATTTTTAGTACAGATGGGGTTTCACCGTGTTGGCCAGGCTGGTCTCAAATTCCTGGACTCAAGCCATCTGTAAGCCATCATCCCGCCTAAGCCTCCCAAAATGCTGGGATTACAGATGTGAGCCACCACGCATGGCAGTATCCTCAGATTTTAAAATAGTACCTGGATGACCCTAAGAGTTCAATAAATATTTGTTGAATGACCAAACAAATGAACCATATACCTAAAGCTCCAGAGCAAAAACTATACTCCAGCACTGTGCTGGGCACTTGATTTATGTCACTTAATCTTTGCAACAGCCCAAATAGGGAGCTATAATTATCTCATTTTATAGATAAGGGAACAGAGAACACAACCTACCCACCACTGAACTCTACTGCCCCTTACCATTTCTGTTTTTCCATTCACTATCTACTATTTCCAAGAACAATTCTTTATATATCTCCCCCTTTTCCTCCTTCAGGTTGGGTCATGCCCCTTCCCAATTTGCTCTCAAAATAACTTACATGTAAGTATCATTCATTACAATTGGCGTTGGCATCTTTCTCTAAATCCTGAATTCCCTGAAGGTATTCATGAGACCTAGCATAAGACCTGGAACAAAGTAGGTATTGAAAATGTTATTATATGATAGTGACTGAATGAAGGAGTAGGTGACCGTGCTCCTCATCTTTAACCACCCCAGTCCCACTTCTAGTTTTTGGGGTTTTTTCCCTTCTTCTTTTTTTTTTTTTTTTTTTTTTTTTTTTTTTTTTTTTTTTTTAACAGGTTCTCACTGTGTCACCCAGGCTGGAGTGCAGTGGCATGATCTTGGCTCACTGCAACCTCTGCCTCCTGGGCTCAAGTGATACTCCCACCCTCCAAGTAGCTGGGACTACAGGCACAAGCCACCACATCCAGCTAATTTTTGTATGTTTGGTAGAGATTGGGTTTCATCATTTTGCCAAGGCTGGATTCAAACTCCAGAGGCCAAGTGATCCACCTACCTCAGCCTCCCAAAGTGCTAAAATTACAGCTGTGAGCCACTGTGCCCAGTCCCTTCTGAGACATTCTTGCTTCACTGATGCAAGGAACTCTCCTCAGCCCCTTGAGAAGGTCTACTTTGAGGAACTCTCCTCAGCCCCTTGAGAAGGTCTACTGTGCCAGATACAGTATGTGGTGTGGGAAATACAGAAATGAATGAAACTGTCCCTACTGCAAGAAAGCCACAGTCTAGTAGAGTGGAGTGCGGGTGTAACCACAAACCCTCACAATCAGTGCAGTTAGCCATAGAGGCATGCAAGTGGTGCTTTGAGAGAAGGAAGAGAAACACCTGGCCCTGAAACAGGTGCGCTTTCCTGAGTTTGGTAGGACAGCAGGGATAAGAGTGAGAGCACAGTGCTCAGTGTAACTCAGTGGTAGCACAAGGGGAAGTGGTGAGAGATGAGGCTACAAAAATAGGCAGGGACCAGATCACAAAGGGCCTTGAAAATAATTATAAGGAGCTTGGTCTTTAATCTGAAGATACTGGGGAGACACTGAAATATTTGAATCAGGACAATGATGTGATGAGATTGGCAGTTCAAACACTGGTCAAGTGAAAAGCCTGAAATAAGGCAGCAGCTGTATTAGGAAAGTGGACAGACTGAAGAAGTAAAATCAATAGAAAAGCTGTTTCCATGTGGGAGGGGGATGACGGAGAGTCCTTGAGCCAACAAGGCCTCCCAAGTTTCTCTGTGGATGATGGTACCATTCATTGGTAAAGAACACACAAGAGGGAGAAATATTCTGAACCATACCTAGTAGGGCCTGCCACATAGTAGATGTTCAACAAATAGCTGTTGAATGAAATAGAATTTAAAAGGTAGAAGATACTTGCTACTTCTGACATATTTTTCAACTGCAGCTCAAGACAGTGCTATGGGGTGTAAGTAGCTGGTAGGGGAGATCTAGGCATGGGTGACAACCAAAAAGTACCCAGAGTGAAAAGAGAGCCAAGAAAGAAATCCTGGAAAACCCAACTTCTAAGAGGTGCTAAAGGAAGAAAAGGCTAAGAGGAAAACCATTAGTTGACACTGAATAAGCACCTCCAGCAAGGACTGTACTGGATGCTAAAACTGTAAAAAAAAAAAAAAAAAAAAAAAAAATGGCAACTGTGTGTTCCCGTGAGGACAGTGTTTAAGGAGCAGGCCGCCACAGGGATATTTCTATGTGCCACTGGAGTCTAAAACCCAGGACTCCATGGAACTGGAGAAATCATACAATGATTCCAGGTCTTATTCCTTGATTTGTCTTATTCCTTGATCTGCCTTCCCACATCCAAACCCTTTCCCCATCCCTTCTCATGGAGTCTGGATCGGGTGAAATTACTTTTATTGATGGTGAGCGTAAGCAGGTGTGAGGGGCTGCACCTCTTTCAGAGGACGCAGGACTGGACTTAAGGAAGGGAGGTCCAGAGCGCCCGCCTCCGCGGATGCAGGATTCTCTCCTTATTAGGGCGCGAGTGCTACATTCTGAAAGGATTTATTTTGGGACAAGGCACAAGCCACAAGCGAGGCAGGCAACACCAGCCCTTAGGCTGCACTCTCTATTTGGAGCAGAGCTTCTCTGGCAGCCCCAGGTCTCCCGGGATCTTCCTCAGTGTCCTGCGGAGGTTCTGGCTCCAGCGTGGGCTCCAGTGCAGGCTGGGCTTCCGGCTGGGCTTCAGCGCTCCGGCCAGGCCCAAGGCGAGGCGGCTTGACCGGCGTGGACCGTGGCGCCGCAGGGCCTTTTCGGCCCGAAAGGGCCCTTCGGAGGCTCTGTACCTTCTGCAATCCAGTGCGCCGCAGCCGCTGGGCCCTGGACTCCACCGGCTCCTCGTCCGAGCTCTCTCCAGCTTCGGCCTCGGGCTGCTCCGGGCCCAGCTCGGACTGGTCCGCCGGGCCCAAGGGCTCTGGTGCCTTCTGGAAAGCGGTAGCTGGGATTTCACCCTCCTCCTGCATGTGACGGACACAGCACTGATCCTGGCAGCCCCTTACCCCCAGCAGCCCGAAACTCACTCCTTAATTACACAAGGGAAACCTTTTACCTCCGCAGAGTAGGGGTGGGAAGAGGCAGAAGTGGGAAGGGAAGGGGAGGGAAAGCTGCTTGCCAGCTACAAAACTTTGTAAAGTAAGTGAGGCCCGGAGAGGGGCGAGAGGAGGATGGTGCCCACAGTCACGGAATGCCCTTCCAACCACCGTTATTTTAGGGATGGGCTGGGACTTAGAACAAATTCTGCGAACGTGGCCAGAGCGAGAGCAGGGCGGGCTTGGATTGGCCAGGCGGGGCTCAGGCGTGACAGGGAGGGATGGGGCTGGGTTTTGGGAAGCGGGTGCGGCTCTAGGAGTGCGTTCCACAGCAACAGCGGCGGGAGGGGTTAGGAATGCGGGTGTGGAAGGTAGATGGAAGCGGGGAGCCCCCAGCTGGTGGCCCAAAGGCAGGAAAAGTCCCCGGATTGGGGACCGTTTGAGGTCACTGACCTTGAAGAGCAGAACGTGGAGCTTCCCTCGCGCCACCAGCAGCCCGTGGTTGGCCTCCAGCCGCTGCACCTGGGCTGCGCGGCGCACAGCGCGCTCTTGGGCTGCGTTGGCATGCGAGCTCACGCGCTCCGCCTTGGCCAGCAGCTGCGCCAAGGTGTTGCTGGTGGTGTCGTGGCTGCGACTGAGAGCGCCCAGGCCGCTCTGGATGCGGCGCACGGACCCCGCCAGGCCTCCCTGCCTTCGAGCCAGGCCTCCCTGCCGCTCCCGCAGTGTCTCCAGCATGGAGGCCAGCTTCTCCAGCAGGGTCACCACCGTCACGGCGTGCACGGGACCCCCAGCCGGCGCCTCGGGCACAGGCCCCGGCTCCAACGCACTCTCCCCCATGATCCCTGACCGCTCTGCTCTGCCTGCAACCAAAGGCTGCACTAAGGGCTGGAGCCGCCTTCCCCTGACTCCTCCCCAACTCCAGCTGTGACTCAGGCGGGCGGAGTTGGCCTTCTGGGGCGGCGGGAGGGCGCGGGGGCGTCGGGCTGTTGGCAGCGGGGGTCTTTTGGAAGAGCTTCCCCTTCCACTTTGCCTCTCCGGAGACCCGCTGGGAAGCGGGTTGGCCCCAGTTCGGTCCCCTGCAAACGCTCTCATTCTGAGTTTGAGTTACTCTCCTCTGCTCCAATTCCCTGGTGTGCCTGTTTCTGGGACGTCTCTCCACCGCAGAGGGCGAGACACGGACATTTTTATTTCATGCATCTTAGTGGGCACAGAAACTATGTTGGCACGGCATAGAGATAACCAGAGAAGCCTCTGTTATCCGCCCACTCTCGGTCTCCCACACCGCTGAAGACTGTATTTTAGTGGCCCCCGGACCGGACACAGGCGACAAGGAAGCCCTGGAACGTTCTGCTTACAGACCGCGAACTGTCAAGGCCCGAGGCCCCGCTTTGTGACTGGACAGGCGGCGCATTGTGGGCTGGCGGGCGCATTGTGGGCTGGCGGGCGGGGCATCGTCTGGTATTTTCCTAACAGTCATCACCAGTGTTTAGCCGCAGGCTTCGTTTCCTGCTTCTCTATTTCGTCCTCTTGGGTAACATTACCCTGTTTTCTTTCTCTAGTTCTCTACCCTCTCTTTCTTTGGGTTTCACGGGTAAATCTCAGCCGTGGCTTCAGCACCCAAGCTTGGAGGACAGACAGGACACCTCTTCCTTTAAAACCCTTAAAAAGGTTAGAGTAGACAGTGGTCTTTGCTTTGATGGAGGTTACTTGGTGATTTTATTTTATTTTATTTTATTTTATTTTTTATTTTATTTGAGACGGAGTCTTACTCTGTCGCCCAGGCTGCCGTGCAGTGCAGTAGCAGGATCATGGCTCACTGTAGCCTCCACCTCCCAGGTTCAGGTGATTTTCCGGCCTCAGCCTCCAGAGTAGCTGGGATGACAGGCGCCCGCCACTACACCCGGCTAATTTTTTTGTATTTTTAGTAGAGACGGGGTTTCACCATGTTGTTTCTTGTATTCTGTGGAACTGTGGAAAGTAAAGACTTGAATTGCTGCTACAGAGGGAAAGAGTGGGCATGGAGGCTCCAGTTAATGATATGGATTGTGAATTTGTAGTGTCAGTAGTTCGAAAAATTCCATGACTTACATGCCTTAGCTGGTCGCGGTGGCTCACCCCTGTAATTCCAGCACTTTGCGAGGCCAAGCGGGGAGGATCACGTGAGGCAAACAGTTCGAAATTAGCCTGGGCAACATGGCACAACCCCATCTCTACTAAAAATACAAAAATTAGCGGGATGTTGTGGCACGTGCCTGTAATCCCAGCCACTCGGGAGGGCTGAGGCAGGAGAATTGCTTGAACAAGGGAGGCAGAGGTTACAGTGAGCCGAGACTGTGCCACTGCACAGCAACCTGGAGGACAGAGCAAGACTCCATCTCAAAAAAGAAGGAAGAAAAAAAAAGAAAAAGAAAAAAATCCCATGCCTTGTTTTTAGGAATACTTGGCAAACCATCTCACAAATCCAAGTAATCTATCAATCCTGATGATCTCGCTCCCTCTTCCTCTTGTCAAGGAACCTGTGAGGGCCATTTGATAACAACTGTGGAAGAAACTTGTGTCACTCAGGAAATAGTTACATGGGCCTGAAGTGCCACAAACAGTAGGCAGCTAATGCCAGAAATCTGGTGATGCTAAATTCATGGCTGGCTTCTACAAATACAAAGTCATAAGCCTGACCCCTTTCCTTAATACAAGAGAAAATAAGCTCTCTGGGAACCTGGTGGGAATCACCATCTCTTCCAGTGAAGCAACGTTTACCCAGAGAGATCCATCAGGGATGTACCAGTTAAAATGCTTTCAGACTGAGGGAACAATAGCTGAATTCAAACAGTACTTAGTAACAGGAAACCCAATTCAAACATAATTGAAAAAGAACATTGGTAGAGTGGTGATTAAGTGTGAGTCATTCACAGCTCCAAATCTGGCTCTCTATAGTTCTCTCAACTGCTCAACTATGAGCCCCATCCCCCACCTCTCACACTCTCCACATCCCCCACACACCACCACCCCCGTGTCTGCACCCACATACACACAGGTATCAGCTTCATTCCAGTTCATTCCAGGCCTCACAACTCTGCAAAAGATCTAAAGAAAGAGGGGACCAGCTTAAAATTTAGGACATGTATTTCCCAGGAGCCTCCCAGAGTTTTTACACTGGCCTTCCACTGGATTACATGGCTTTTCCAAATCCAAATTTTATGGCTACAAAAATATTATGCATTGATGTGTTTAGGCCTGTGTTCCCTAACCAATCACTGACAAGATATCTAATAGTTGCCTTTTGACAAATTAGATCCCTTTCTGAAGCAGAGTAGATTCAGCTTCCCCAGGAGTATTAGGGTGGTATGGGAGGAAAAGTGGGTTCTGTACAAAAAATCTGGGTACTATTAGGAATGGATATTAATATAACAGGAAGCCTGTGAAAGAATCACCAGCCTTGAGGAATGAGACTAAGGGAGTTCAGTGCATTTGGGAGTAAGAAGTACTTAGATAGGTATGTTTTTTAAACCTGATAATGAAGTGGCATCGCTGTGTGGAGTAAATACCCGAGATTTGTTGTCTCACAGCTATGAAAAACTAGGACATAAACACCCAAAGAGTGAGGCCCAGAGCAGAAGTTGAATAGGCAAAAGAAAGAGAAGAGCTTTCTGCAGCAGACAGGGGTCCAGGAGAAATGGGTTGCTGGTTCCACTGTAAAATGCAAGGGATTCTACAGATGAGCTTAAGGAGGCAGTGTCTCTCAGTCTCAAAAAAAAAAAAATTAGCCAGGGTGGTGGCACTTGCCTGTAGTCCCAGCTACTACTGGCGAGGCTGAGGCAGGGGAATCCCTTGAACCTCGGAAGCAAAGGTTGCAGTGAGCCAAGATTGCCCCACTGCACTCCAGCCTGGTGACAGAGAGAGACTGCATCGCCAATAAATAAATAAATATTTTTTAAAAAAAAAAGGAGGCAGTGTCTCAATTACATGGGGTACAAAAGATTGGTTGGACCAGGTGTGCCATTTGCATAGAGTGGAAAAAACTGGTTAGGGCTAGGTATGCCATTTGTATAGGGCACAAAAAGCTGGCCACCCCCACCCTAATCTTTTATTTTGCGGATAGGTTCTCTACCTGGCCAGTGCCATGTTGCCTGTTTCTTTGCTGTACACGTGGTGACAAAGAAAAGAGAAGATGGAGCCTCCATGTTGAACATACCTGGCCCCAAGGTAGCCCTTTTCTATTGACACAGCTGCCAGCATTCACCCATGCAAGCTTCCAGCTTGCTTATCTATGTTTGCAGCTCGATTTTTCAGGCTTTCTTTGTTAGAAAAGAAACGATTTGGGGGCTGCTTTTTGTTAAAAGGGAAATTCTGCTGAGGATTCTTTTACCCTCACTCACTGCCTAAATAATTTTTTTTATCTCCTATAGCACTAACTCCCTCTCTGGCTATGTGGAACAAGGAGGACCTTAAACTTAGCAATAGAACCAGTGATGGTTCTACCAGTCTCCCAAAGCCTCTAATTTAAAAGCCATATGAACTGGCTGAGAGTGGAAAATGGAAGCCCATGGGGTAAATGAAAATAACTTGGGGCCACCTAGAAGAATGCCTGAGTCAATAAAGCAGAGATTGACAGAAATTTTAATAGATTGATCTTGATAATAGAGCCAAGGAAAAGCTGTATTGCAGTTTCCAAAAACGGTTAAGAAAAGAAGAAAGCAAAGATGCAGAATGATGCCCTCTGTTCAAAGATAAACTTAGGAACCTTAAAATTTTTAGAGTTTATCTGAGCGAAGAACAATTCATAAATTAAGCAACACTCAAGACCAAAAGAGGTTCAGAGAGCTCAGCTGCAGCAGTGTGGGCAGTGAGCTTTTATAGGCTGAACATGGAAGTAAGACAAAGAAAATTGTATTTGATTGAGTTAGAGGATCGTTGGTGATTCCTGATTGGTAAGGTCCCTCGTTTTCTTTTACTGTTTACATTGAGCTTTGCTTTGTTTATGTAGGAATCAAAAAGTGCTGGAGCCATCTCAGCCTGATGGCCTCCCAATTAAAAAGCTGTTTAATACCTTAAGGCAGCGGTCTTCAAAATTTCTATTCTCTAAACTAGGGGTGTGGCCCTCATACCCCATGGTATGGACATGAAAAGTGGAAGCTTATTGCCACAAGTTGCTGTGTTTCCAAAAAGAAACATTTAAGTCCTAACCCCTGGTGCCTGTGAATATGACCTCACTTGGAAATAGAGTCTTGCAAATGTAGTTAAGATGAGGCCATAATGGAGTAGAGTAGGCCCTTAATTCAGTATGACTGGTGTCCTTGTGAGAGAGGGAAGAGATACACAGGGAGAACACCATGTGACGACAGAGGTGGAGATTGGAGCCATGCTGCCACAAACCAAGGAATGACCCAGAAACCGAAAGAGGCAAGGAAGGGTACCTCCCTTGGAGCTTCAGAAGGAACATGCCACTGCCAACACCTTGATTTCAGACTTCTGCCCCCCCAGAACCATGACAGAATAAATTTTTGGGTTGGGGGGGGTTGTGTTTGTTTGTTTTTCTTTTTTTTTTTGAGTCGGAGTCTTGCTGTTGTCATCCAGGCTGGAGTACAATGGCATGATCTCGGCTCACTGCAGTCTCCACTTCCCAGGTTCAAGCGATTCTCCTGGGCTGGGTGCGGTGGCTCATGCCTGTAATCCCAGCACTTTGGGAGGCAGAGATGGGTGGATCACAAGGTCAGGAGTTCAAGACTAGCCTGGCCAACATGGTGAAACCCCATCTCTAAAAAAAAAAAAAGAGAGAAATTCTCCTGCCTCAGCCTCCTGAAGAGCTGGGACTACAGGTGCCTGCCACCACACCTGGCTAATTTTTGTATTTTTAGTAGACACAAGACAGGGTTTCACCACATTGGCCAGCCTGGTCTCAAACTCCGGACCTCCAGTGATCCACCTGCCTTGGCCTCCCAAAGTGCTGAGATTACAGGCGTAAGCCACGATGCCCAACAAATTTCTATTGTTTTAAGCTAC